TAATGAAATGAAATTAAATGACATAATCATCAATGTCAGTGATTAGGAAAAGAAACTGTAGGAAGAACTTTTAATAAGGGAAGAAAAGAAACAGAATTATGTTTTGGCAGGGCTGTACAGGTGAATGTTGAAACTTTCTTGAGAACACATTTAATTTAAAAAAGGTCTTTGAAGGAGAAAGGTAAATAGTTTTTGAGCAATGACCATGGGGGCATGTTTTAAGTGCTTTTGTTTCTCTTTTGTTATGTCCATCGCTGGCAAACGGAAGTTTACGGTGGTCAAGATGGGTCAAATATTATTTGCCATTATTAGCTAGCCTTTATTTTATGGGCCACAGCATTTGTGAAAGAGAATTATAATGGTACATCACAGAGTGCCAGATATACCTGTGTTTTCATATCTATGGCTGAGACTATGGATAAAATAGTTCTGTTGCCATTGTACTAAAAAGAAACACTTCCTGGCAGCTATAAAAGAAAGACAGATGATTGTATTGATTGGTTGTTCATCCAGAGGGAAATCTGGGATCTCATTCTTTCGAACATTTGTTTGGATTGATCTCTGTCATTTTACAAGAAAAATATTTGCTTACAGTGCTACTCACAATCACTATTTCCGTGGAATAATAATGAATATAATATTAAAATCCAGTAGTGAAATATTAAAAAAAATATAATTCCCTAGTGAATGCTTGCCATGGATTTTCAATTTTACCTCTTTTTCGATTTGAGATGACTAACATGGCCCAGATATTGTGGGAAAATGAGGATAATGATTAACTTGTGAAAAATTGGAAATCATTGCTTTCTGATGGCACCATTGCAGAAGAACAACTGCTTCTTGGGTAAACATTGTTTCCAAGGAAATAGACTTGGAAATCGGATTTTGGAACTTCAGTTAAAGTTCCATATTCATTAAGAATGTTGACCAGGGAACTTTGTTATGAAGGAACAATAATGGGTGTCCACAATGTTTGGCATAAGATAATAGGAAATACAGGCCCTTTTTCAGTGAAATAAATTGTACAGCATGATGACTTTTAACAGACCTATTGGTTGGGGATGACTGTTGAAGTCAACCAAATTTGAAGTCTAGCCTATTTAGGATTTAAACAGTGATGCTTTCATACACATTAATCTGCATCTATCTGGTGATGGATTTTTGCTTCTTTTGCTGATGATCCGATCTCTCGAACAAGCACTAAATACAGCCAATTCCACCTTTAATCTCTCTTCAAGGTTGGGTGTAGGTTCATCTGAGAGAGTGATTGTTCCAAGGCAGTGGTATATTAGCCATTAAGCAGAGTAAGCATGTGCTGAGGGCACCAGGCCCAAAGGGGATACCACAAACTTGAGAATATGGCTTCATTTGTAAAGTATGTACAAAGAAGCGGGGCACCAAGATTCATCAGTGTTTAGGCCACCAGTGAGCCTTTATCCGCCACTGCTCCTAGGCCAGTTACTCAGTGAATCTCTGTACATCTGACTTAATGGGGCACTGATTCTTTAAATGTTAGTGTAAGCCCTGGACATAATATAGTTACCACTGTTAGAATCTTTGGAACTAAAATAATCACAAGCAGATTTATGGCCTTTGAATAGCAACTATAAATTTTGGGGACATGTGGGAGATACTCAGTTATTGTTCTCAACTATTTTATAAGGAATGTTAAAAGAACATTCCAGCTGATGCAGGGTCATCATATTTTCTTAAGTTTATTCATATAAATCAAGTTTAACCTTCGTTAATGAAGCGGGATGGATTCCAGTGTGTGCTTTCTTTAAATAGGCATTTTATGAGACTGGCCACTTACACACATACTCTGTGTGTACACTCAAGTGTACTCATTGCCATAGAATTACAATTTTTTTAAAGCTGAAGAATCATGAAAATTATGCATGCACATACATAAATCCATTTTGTGGCATAATTCACATGCATACACATTTGCACAGATGTTACCTGAAATACCTAGCAGGTACTCACTTGGGTTAATCTGGCATTTGGCCTTGTAAAGTCTTCTTCCCTAGAATCAATTAAAATTTGAGAATATTGGAAATTACATTTGTAAAAGGAAAGATATCATATTTCCATCTACAGTTTTTGACTAACAGAAACTATACACAGAAAAACACTTTCCTTTGAAGAAGACTTATGGATGAAACTTAATATTCATCTTTCTAGTATGTTTAATTTGTTGTTGGTAATAATAATATAAACTTCATAAACCTCTGGTACAAAGTGTTTCACTTTGAAATTGTCCTACCCTGTTTCTCCAACAATACGGCCTCCCCCAATAGGAAGTCCCAGCATGTTTTATAGGCATGAAATGAAATTAAGCCCCTCCCCCCAAATTAAGGCCTATATTAAAACATGGGGAGGGAATGGCGGGGGAGCTTACCGTTAGGAAGTACTGTTGTTGCACACCTGGATATGGTGCTGCCTGCGTTGACCTCGGCATTGGTGGGGCACTTCGTATCGGAAGACCTTCTGCCACCGTTGCTTTCCCTTCTCCCTGTGCTGCCACAGCGTTTGGAGCAACGCCGCAGTGGCACAGCCACGTGGCGTTTGGCGCAACCACGTACGGCCAGCCAGGGCTCCTCCCTGCAACTGGAGCCTGGCAGAGACACTCGGCTTCAGGTGCTGCTTCCCTGGCTGGCGGGTCTAGCAGAGAGAGCCTGAAGCCGCCTGTCCTTTCCACCCCTCACCCAGCCCGTCCCAGTCCCCACGCATCTCCAAACGTGCCGGCAGCTCCAACACTGCAGCGGCATGGGCATCGGGCAGAGGCGCTCACTTGGCGGGGCTCAGCTTGGAGAACGTGGCGTGGGCCATCGCCTTGCCTCCCTGTCCACGGATGGGTGGGTACTATCACTGCCTCGGGCAGCCTCTCCCAGTGGCCACTTCAGGGTCAGACTGGAGGGACTTGGGAAGGAAGCCAAGCTCGGGTCGGCCCGGCTCTTTCACTTGGCAGGTGGGGCACACCCGCGGCTCGCTTTCCTGGCTCTGCCAAGCCCACCCGGCTCCGGCACGGCCCTGGCGGGATGAGTGGATGGCCCAGCAGGGAGGCGCTCGCTGCTTTGGCCAGAGCTCCGCCACCAGGCAGGAGGGCTCTGCTGTCAGCTGTGCTGGGCGCCCCAGGCGAAGCTCTTTGCGCTCTGCCCAGCTCCAGGCAGGGATGGCAGCTGGGCGCTTCTCCCGGGGTGGGCCAATCCTGCACTGCGGCCCCGGGAGATTCACCTCCCCATGTGGGGTTGGGCTGCCCTCTTGGGCAGGAGAGGCTTTGTCCTACCGGTAGTAGGGCATCGTTTTTAAAAGAATGGGCTTTGCTTTCGAACGATGCCTGGGAAGCTCCTGAAGCTGTGTGTCTCCACTGGGCTCCGGTTGCAGGGAGGAGCCCTGGCCGGCCCAGCATGGCTGTGCCAAATGCCGCGTGGCTGCTCCAAATGCCATGGCATTGCTCCAAATGCCGCAGCAGCATGGGAGAAGTGAAAGCAACAGTGGTGGAAGGTCTCCCGATATGGTCAACATTCAAGCCGTCACCTCCCGCCTGCCCGAGGATGCAAGGGGGGGAATTAAGTCACCCCCAAAAAGACGGCCTAGCCATTTTTGGGGGGCTCAAAAAAAAAGAAAGACCCGGCCTTATTATATGAGAAACACAGTATTAAGTGTCCAATTTAGAAATTGTTCTATGGATTCAGAAGGCATATTATATCTGGATATATATACTTCATTGATGTTGCCAAACATTGTTGAGTACAAATCACAATTTAAGTGTGAGCATTTAAACTCTGCAATGTTTATTTCTTTATTATTCTGCTTTATTATCTTTTTAAATTCAAAGCTGTTTTACATATTAGAGTAAGAGATACAACCTGTTCTATCTTACACAACACAGCACATTATTATTCTCAATAAATGGGTTTCATAACCAACTTTGTGTTTAAATGGTGTTGGATTTTTCAGATATTTATGGTTAAGTTTTATTTGAGAAAACTTTCTTTTAAAATGAAGACCAGAAAACTCTATGCCATTTATTTTCAGCCCATTGGCATTTTATCATTCATTATTCCAGTTTAAGCCATTGCAGCTTATTATTTTATACTTCTGATTATTTTCTGAGCATGAAAAATAAATGTCAAGCTTGAACTTGCTTGAATTTCTAAAGTAGCACATTAAATGTTTGGGGAATTGCAATTTCTTAGGACTTTAGCCATTTTGTGTCACATTAAAGATGCTGTCTCAAGGGAACCTCCTGAAGTATCTGTTCAACATCAACGGTCTTTGGCTGAATGCAAAATTTAATGCATGTATGGAGTTAATATTGGATTTCATGACAACCATTCCTGGTATAAAATTGGAACATTTTCTTCCCTTCTTGCAAATGATGTAGCTGCTGAAAGTTACCTCAGATGCAGAATGAAGGAAAGGAAGCTTCCTATGGCAAAAAATATACAGCTTCATTCTGCCTTCTGCCCTTTTTCTCACTCCATTTTTCCTTTGTATGGCATTGACCATAAAGAATTGGGTACAGTCGCCATCCAACAGGAAGACTGCTTTTGGCACACATGTGCAGGCTGTTCTCTTTATTGTCTGGCTTTCATCATAGACTCACATTTCCTACCTGTCACCACAAGGGGTATCCGGGACACATCATGAACGGGAAGCTTCAGTAACCAAACTGTACAGGGCAGCCTGGCAGTTTAGCTCTGAGTAATTCTGTGAAATTAGAGATCCGTGCAGCAGAATCCTCTCTGGGGATTGCTGCTGTTAGGAGAAAAAGAGCAGATCTTGTGAGCTGCCTGTGTGGCTGCCTGTGTGTGAAAGAGAGAAAAGACGCAGAGTGCATCTGACTGAACCATTTGGCTACTGGGAAGCCCTAAAACACAGAGCGAGAAGAGAGAAAGGAAAACAGAGGAAACCGGAGCACAACTGAAGTGCAGAGCAGCTGTGTTTGTCTCCTGATACTCTTGACATTTTGGGGTGCCTCATTCAAAGAGACCATGGATTCTTGTACTGAAATCTTCTTCAAGCTGTTGTTTCTGGTCCCTCTCCATCCTTGGAATATATTAGCAGCCGGAGATATCTGTGAGTATTACCAGGGGATATTAAACTTAGACCAGACTGTTCTGCAAAACTTAGGACTTATTGTAATGGAATCTGGACTTTAGAAAGGGAGTTTTCCAAATAAATCAAGGCAGCTGCAATCAGAACTGCAAACAGATGGAATGGAAAGATTTCAGATGCTGAAAATATGCCATGTCCTTGTGTTTTTCATTTACTGATTTGACCAGACTTCTGATCAGAGCAGTTTAGGGTATGATAGACTCTGGGGAATTCACTGCATGCTATGCTGTATTACTTTCCCTACCCACTACCTGACTTGTCTTTTATTCTCTCCTCCCCCCCATCTGCCCTTTTAAATGTTTACTATAGAGCAGCACAATATTTAGCAAGGAGTTAAGTCTTTCCTGGGAGACTACTAGCATGCTGATACTCTCTGCTGCATCAGCTTTGCATTTAGCAATGTGCAGTTTTACGGACAAGGATGCTTTTCTTGAGTGAACTCTCTCTATTGTAAAAACAGCACAGGAAATGCAAGACAAGATTTTAGGGAATGTTCATTGATTAGAGAGTAATGTTCATGTGTGACCAGGCAGTAGAAGGTTATTGGCAGTGTGAAAATGGTGTTCCCCCTTTCATTTTTGAAAAGACAATAATTTTAAAGGAAAGCTCTGTGTAACTCTTGAACTTAAGAGAGTCACTAACTTAGTAATCAGTATTTCTTGTAGATATGGGATAAATAGGTCCCAAACCTGACTCAGACAAAATTATACCTACAAAGTATTTTATAGGCAAAAGTATGATAGCAACTAATTTTTCTATCCATGATGACTGATCTTATTAAATGTCTCAGTTAATAAAAAGCTTTAAGTTTTCATTAAACATCTTAACTGGGTTTCCACTGTTCCAGTTCATGTATTCAGATTTTTAGTTCATTGATGGAAGTTTATGTGATGAGGAGACGGGAGAAAGAAGGAAACAAGGAATGGGGACTTGAGTAGAGGAACTAGGAGTTGAAAGGATCCATAAATAACACAGTCACACCATTGAAAAGAAAGCTGCCAAGAACAGTGAAGAAATAAATCAGGAGCAAAGTGGAATGATTTTACTGGATCCGATGCTTTAAAGACTGAAATACAATCATTAAAAAGCCCATTCTCTGCAGTGGACAATTACCTGTATGTGTGTTTCTGTCTCTCTGTCTCTGTCTCTGTCTATCTCTCTCTGTCTCTGTCTCTGTCTCTGTCTCTGTCTCTCTCTCTGTGTGTGTGTGTGTGTGTGTGTGTATGGTGTGTGTGTTTGTATCTGTGTTTGTATCTGTGTGTCATTCATTCACATTACTTCATTTGACATTCAAGTGCACGGAACAAGTTATCTCTGTCAACTCCTTGCTGCAGTATATCCAAATGCAGTTTATACACTTATCATTGTTCAATTTTTTTCATTTCATGATTTCATCCCTTTGTCAGAAGAATATTTAAACTGAATTGCACTATTTGGTAGATGTCTCTTCAATCTATAGTAAAATGGGACTTCAGGAACTATAACAGAACAGCGAAGCACTAGAGGTCACTCTTACAATTTAGGAAGCAAGGCTGGGAGTAAATTATAGCAAACATCTTTTTGTTCTCCACAGAATTATGATGAATAAAAACATCAAAAATCACTGCAGTGATTATTGCCTTTACCCTATGACACATTTTTGAATTATACATCTCTCAGGGGCTATAAAGGCATTCTTTTTTGTTCCGTAGTTAATTTGGTGAGAACAAATAATTAAAATACCTTGCCAATCTAATGAATTCTGTAGCCATTTTGAGATGTTACAGATGATGCATATAAAATCCAAAGATCTTGCAGAATGTAAAATAGTTTGCAATATTGATATAAACAATTTATGTATGCTTCCAGCTCTATCCAAATTAGCATAATATAGCACTACCTTGATTATCTGTCTGATTTTTAATGACATTAGGTTTTATTCAAATTTAATCATTCTTACCCACTAATATTGATGGGACTTAAGATACCAGTTGCTAACTTATCCAATTGACTTCAGTGAGTCTGATGCCTAATTAAACTAGATCCATTCCAAATTTTAAACAATATTTCCTAACATTTCAATTATGCATTGATCTTACATATTTAATATTATCTCATATGATTACAAGTGGGTTCATCCCATTGATCAAATTTGTCCAGGAAATTCTGTTTTTATTAATGTATCACAATATTTATCATTTTGCCTTTAGTGTCTGTATAAGTTTATCTACTGTCTATAAAGTGACATCAGTAGACACTGTGTCATTTCAAATGTTTTCATATTTTTATACTCTTATTTCAATCATCTCATGCAGATATAAGCTTCTCTGTATACAGTAATGTTTCCTACAGAGTCAATAGTTATAGGGTCTCATAAAATTAGGATATAGTTCTTCTTGCCAGTTCTTATATTTCTTATTTATCTTTTTGCATAAATGCATATGTCAAAATATGTAAATGGTGACAACCAGAGCTTTCAAGTTCAATCTATTTCCTTAGTTCTTCTATATATATTTTTCATGGGGATTCTAATGCTAGACTTTCAAGTCCTATTTAACCTTTTCCATGATCTCAATCCTTGTTTAGGACAGTATCTGTGAGAAATTAGAGTTCTCTCAAGAGTTGTCTTATACATTATCAATAATGACTGTCTTTTGCTACTTACTCTGAGCAACATATTTACACCACTGATTACATGAGCCAGAGATAAGAACTTCTAAAGTTCTTATTTAAGTTATTCGAAACAAGCAAGTCTTATCAGATTATCAATTTAGCGGAATTCATACATTATTACTTTTCCTTTTAGAGGAGGATTGCTACATGTTTTCCGTAGATGCAATTGATTTCCCTTGGAAAATTTTCATTCTGAACAGTGCAGACAATTCAAAGCTGTCTCTTCCTAAAGAATTAAAACTTCTGAATTCCAAAACTTCTGAATTCTATGCAGCCATAGATACGAAACAATGAAATGGCATCCCAAAGCATTAAGGGACAACTGAAATCCTTAAAGTATATAGATATGTTTTAAGTATGTGTTTTATTGTTTAAACTTCTTGACTATTTTGAAGATAGTTCCATGACTAGTAACATTTTGCTAGTCAATGGTCAGGAATGGAGATTTGACAATGTTGTCTATATGACACTACCTTTCAAACTTTGTGGAAAAGAGATGCTATAGAAATCATAATTAAACTTTGTTTACATTTCACTGCTTTAAAATAGTAACAGTAATTAAGCTGTGGGATGAAGTTCTGCAAATAAGTTCTCAAAACATTTGGTTGGTTTGCTTGTTTGTTTCAGCAAAAGAAAACTTAGAGTTAAGAACATGTTTAAACTTAACATCTTCACATCAACAAATCTAATTGAAGATAGCTAACCAGCCATCACTAGTACCATTTTGTAGGATAGGTATTTGGGATTGCTATTAATTGTGGCATGGAGATTTTGAAGAAGAAAATTAATTTAATAGAGGCAAAATGGAATGCAATCCTGTAAATAGGTGCTCAGAAGTAATCCCCATTAAATTCAGTGGGACTGATTCAAGTAGATTTAAGCTTCCTCCTGGACTTGTTGTTGTTTAAGTACCACATAAAAAGTCTTAGAACATTTTAGTAGGTGATAATGGATATTCTGACAACATAGTTCTATATGCATCTACATAGAAGAAAGTTTAATGATTGTCAGGAAATCTTAGGAGCAAACCCTATTAAGCTCACTATGAGTTTAGATTGTATGCTGAACAGTTTTGTATGCTCAATTGCCTTTAATCCTATAAATCCTATATCTACAGAGCTACAGCAATGAAATTACATGAGTATCATTCAAGATCTGACAAACACTAATATTAAATTATATGAGGACTCATCGTAATCTTTCCCAGGAAGTTAACTTCTGCCAAAAGAAAGGTCATATAATATTTTCTATACATTGACAATTGATATTTAAAAAAACAGAATTATCATGACTGTGTATCAGTTTACAAACTACTTTCACTACTTTCACGTCACCTGACCTGAAATAATTCTATTTGTGCAAATAAAATCAACTCAATGTATTCCTGATTAAGCAATTATTATGACAGCTTTATTTTATAGATGATTTGTATGTTTCAAAACATATAATTACAATCAAACAAAAAAGCAGAAATTCCAAAAAATATATATCTAAAATCACAAGTCTAAGGGACACTCTATGGAAAAAGGGAGACATAACCAATAGAGGAAAATAATGGAGAAATTAACCTAAATTAATTTGAACTTTAAATTTGTTTGAAGAAAGAAGTGACAAGTAATTGTAGTTCTTATGATGTATTGGGACTACAGTACCCAGTATTCACCATATTAGTGGAGTATATCAGATTGCAGAAGAAAATTTAGAAAATGCTTCACAGGAAAAAATGAAAAAAAAATTAACATCATTACTATTGCCTCAAATGTGCTTTTTCAAAAGGCAACTTTCTGTATTTTTTTTTTTTTTTTTGAAGTCATTTTGCTTCTCAACCAAGAAGCATCTTCATTTCAGAAAATGTTTCTTGGATGAGAAATGAAACATTTTCAAGAGAAAAAAAGACAAAAAGACCAGTTGCCTTTTGAAAAAGCACCTTGGGAAAACTATCACCTGGATAACTGAGAATCTCCATAGACATTATTAATATTGATAATCAAACATAGGGCAAGGAGATAACATGAAAAAAGTGTTAAAGGTTAGCAATCATAGACGATTGCAAAGAATAAAGGCTATTGACTGATATTATCTAACCTAGGTATCAAGACAGGAATTTACAACTAATGATCCTGACTATAGAATTTTTATTTATAATTTGCCTCTATGGCTATAATACTTGCAATCGATAACTTTATTCTACTTTTAATTACTATTATTGATACCCTCACTTCATGCATTATACACAAGAGGCAGAAGTTATGATATTAAAGATGAAACTCTTAAAGGAATCTCATAATCCTAATTGCCATGTCCATAGC